TCCAAATAGAGCATAACAACCCCATTAATCCAGCAAAAATAACAAAATATATCAACGTGTAGCTAACATTAATATAAGGTCCTTATTTCATGAAACCAATACAACATTTTAACATAAAAAGGAAAAAAAAAACAGATGCCAGGACAATCCATTTCCACATGCGGAGGGTAAATAAACAATACTATCTTACGAATAATTCAAGAAAACAGAATAAATATCAGTAAAAAAAGCATAGGCAACAAAAAAAGTACAAAACCATAATCAGAGAAAAAACTCGAGTACAATCCATTATTAAACAGAATAATACAATACGATTCCTCCATGAAAGTACAGTCACCATCTGGAATAGTGAACCATGACGCTTGAGGACCAACCGATCTAGAGAAAGAGCTAGGGCATTTCGGGTTTGTACCTTTTCCTCTGTGTCGACTGGCTCTCTTCCTTGGAAGAAACCCTAGGGAACCATGTCGAGGGTGCTCGAATTTCCTATGAGACATTGCTCTCCCTCTCTCTCACTCTCAAAATACCAGGCGGGCTGCCGATCCTATGTAGCGAAGCTCCCTCTCTCTCAAAATACCAGGCGGGCTGCGCTCCTATGTAGGCATTTTTCTAGGGATTTTTCGCGTAGTTCAAAATTACTAAACCATCCGTTCAATTATCTGTAATTTCATGAGTGCCCTTAAACGTACCGTGTTCAATTTTCAGGTATCAGGATATCGTAAGTGTTGTCCTGGGGATCTTAATCTTGACCGTTCACGCTCCGGGTTGTTGAGATTTGAAATGAGTGCTTTCTCTGGAAATCTGGGCCGTCCATTCTATGAAACGAGCGATTACATGAACTGCCATTAATGGATTGTGTACCATGCGATGTTACTTGGCTAAGAAAAAGAAGAGAAAGGACTTTGATTTTGTTTACAAAATTTTGCTAAATTTGGTTTTTCAATATACTCCAATTTTTTTAAAAAATATATTTTTAATTTCAAAATATCAGTAAAATTGCAAATTCTAGACAAAAACGAAATATTACTGTGTTTTATAATTTAAAAAATGGAGAAAATTTCAAATTCTAGATGAAAACAAAGTGTCATTGCATTTAATCATTGGGAAAATAGTTTGATAGGACAACAGGCCCATCAAAACAACTACAGGATGAGGTATCGTTGTGCATGTTGTTCACAAATGACATAGTTTGATTGATGAGACCCAAAACAACGTAAACACAAAGTTAGAGCTTTGATGGGATGCTCTAGAATCCAAAGGTTTTAAAATTAGTCGGAGTAAGACAAAGTATATGGAATGCAAGTTTAGTGATAATAAGAGTAGAGATGAGGATGTAATTAAGATTAACGGCCATGAAATACAAAAAAAACCACACTTGGGTCGATAATCCAAGAATTTTGAGAGATTGAGGAAGATATTGCATATATAATTAACGCTAAGTTGATGACGTAGAGATGTACAATTGGAATATTATCTAATCGCCACATACCAATGAAACTGAAGGGCAAGTTCTATGAGATAGTTGTGACACTAGCTTTGCTCTATGGGGTGGAAGGTTGGATGGACCAAAAGACAACATACCTATAGAATAAGTAGAAAAGATATGAGGATGTTAATATGGATGAGTGGCAAGACAATAAATGATAAAATTCGAAATGAATCTATTGAAGAGAATTTAGGTGTGGCACTAATAAGAGATGGATAAGTGGCAAGACAAGAAGGGATAAATTTTCAAATGAATCTATTAATGAATCTATTGGGGAGAAATTATGTGTGGCACTAATAAGCAATAAGATGAGAGACAGTAGACTTAGATGGGCTGACCATGTGTGGCTTTGAACAAGTAAAACACCTATTAGGAAATGCGAGTTAATTCAAGTTGGATGACTGAAAAGGACAAGGAGTATACCCAAAAAGACATGGTGGGAAGTAGTCCGAAAAGATATAGGGACATATAGCCTCACTGATGATATGACCTTTAATATAATAGAATGGTGGATCAAGATTTGTGTAGCCGACCCCAATTAATTGGAAAATGTTTGATGATGATAATAATGATATATGTATATATATATATATATATATATATATATAGGAAAATAACATTTACCCCCCTCTTCGAAATTTCCCATCCCTAGTAGCCCCTTGGGATCACCAAAAACTCATGTACCTCTTCAAGTTTAAAACTTTGGGACTAATTAGCCCCCTAATTATGTTTTTCTTTGGTTTTTTTACAAACTTGATCACGCCAAAACCATACATTAGTCATCCATAATTTTTTTATGACTTGATATACAAATTTTATTGATGATGATAATTATAATTAGTATTATAAATAATTATTATTATAATAATAGCAATAAGAACAACAACAATATATTAATTGTTAAATAATTCATCTCTTATAGGTATTTTTAAATTTTTATTTAATTAAATGAAAATTTTATTTATTTAATTTTATTTAACAATAGTAATAGAGATATAGATTAAACATTTTCCAAGTTCAAAAGATATTGATGCAATTGTAAAATAGGTCATAATATTAAAAAAAATCATTTTATTTTCATGTCTAAATTTATAGAGTGGGGTATATGGAGGTAAGATTGGTTTTAAGCAATGGAGGAGAAAGGAAAGGAAGTCGATTAATGGAAAGGTTTGGCATTTTGTAATAAAAATATAAAATTTGTAAAAAGAACAAATAAAACATATTTAGGGGGTCAACCGTCCCAAAATTTTAAACTTATGGGGGTACAATGGATTTTGATGAACCCAATGAGCTAATAGAGATGGAAAATTCGGGTGCTGGAGCTGGGGTATAAGTCATTTTCCATATATATATATATAGGAAAACTCTTCCCAACGCCTATAGGCGAAAATGACCAGTGATTTCGTCTACCCTCATTGCCATTCGAACTTCATCGCACGGTCACAGTTGTTCGGGTGATGTTTCATTTTTCAATTTTTTTTTAATAATCGAAATGATCTGAAATTTGGAATGTGTGTACATCTTAGTGAGACAGGGGTATAAGTCATTTCAACACACACACATATATATAGGAAAACTCTTCCTAATGCCTATAGGTGAAAATGAACAGTGATTTCGCCTACTTTCATTACCATCCAAACTTCATCGTACGGTCACAGTTAACCGGTTGTGTTTCAATTTTTATTTTTTTTAATAATCGAAATGATCTGAAATTTGGAATGTGTGTACATCTTAGTGAGGTGTACTTAATAAAAATATGAAAAAAATAATCC